TCTCGAGACTCTCCAATCTAAAACTCGTGATGCACTCGACGACACACAGAACACAGCTCCCCACTCTTCAGTTGAGTCATTCCCTGAGCTCAACACGCTGTCTCGACGATGCACTACAAGACTCTTTCGGTGCACTCGTTGCCCAGCTGTCAACTCGATACTAACTAGATGAGACACTAACTCGTAACTATCTTGCACTTTGACTCGACCTCTCGACGAGGCACAGTTTGATTGCGGACCAGCAGGGTTTATATAGCTTTCGGCTTGTGTTCAAGAACATTCTGGCTAACCGGTAAGAATTCGTTTCAGAAGGTTTTCCATTCATCCATGGCATATTGCCAATTTTCTCGCCAAATGTGGCAACCCTGCCTTTCTTTACTATTTTATGGCAACCTTAAAACTGCTTTGCGGGGGAAGCCATCTTACCGCGCCTGTACATTTTGTAACAATATATTCTGACAATCAAGGTGCACAGAAGTTTGTGGAAAACTCAGTTTCCACCCATGTACTAAACATATAGATACTGAACATCACTTTGTATACGAGATTTATGAGAGAAATGTGTGTGTGTGATTTTGGCAAAGCCTCGAGGGCTATCTGCCTAAGGGGAGGGATGCCTTCGTGGAGGACTTTCTAAGGGAAACTGGCTCGTATACACATGGGGAAAATCACGAAAACGCCCATGCAGCCAGCCCATTTGCGGGATTCGAACCTCGGACCGAACTACCAGTGTTCAGCGACTTCAAACGCTCGGCCGCTGGTGGGCCCTTATAAGAGAAATGAAATAAACATTAAATATGTGCCAACACAGAATATGGCTACAGATGCAATGATAAAAACACTAACTGCTTTGAAACATTATAAGTGCTGTAAATTAATTGGAATGACTGTAAATGTATTTTTTTTATATCTATTTTTTTAAGCCGCGAAATGTCAAAAGAGGGTTTGTTATAATTATAAATATCCAACGTTTAGCTTAAGAGCATTTCTTTTGATGCATCCGCAATTCGCGCTTATGTGTGCCGTGATGTCGGAATCTCTCTTTTGTATGTATTTATGTATATCCTTTTTTTAACCATGTATCTTTGTCTTGAAAAATATTGATTGAAGTTATAATCTGTTTAGGCTCATTTTTTCTTTAAATGTTGCTCCAAAATATCAATTTGCATTCATAAACAAAACAGGCAGAAATGTGGAGTAAAATTCGTTGATTCAATTATGACGATTTCTACCGGAGAAATCACCTTTCTTCTTTCTTTCTAATTCTCCGAGGTAGTCTTTGTAGAAACGTTTGCGTAAATTCAATCGTAAGGTGTGAAAGTAATGCACCCGTTTCAATATATGCTGAGAATTAATCAGATCCAAATCAAATGTTTCTCCTTCTTTTATATCTTGAATGAAATGAGCTGGTGTAAGAGGTTTCAGCTAATTGGGATCGTCTGACAAATATGTCAGTGGTCGTCCATTTTTTGTAGCCTCACAATCGTAAAGTCAACATTTCTTCATATGTTATGCAAGCTTTGCCCAAACACTTTCGGTGGAGTTCTTTAATACTGCAGACCATCCTTTTCCAAAATCCACTGTACCATGGGGCGGAAGGCGGGGTAAACAATTATTTTATCTTCATTAAAGAACATTCAGCTTGAATGAAATCCCAATCCAAAAATTTCAAAGCATTTGCAAAGTTCGTACCATTATCAGTGTATAGAGTAGATCCCTTTCTTCTTCTTGCCCAGAATCTTCTCAAAACTTGCATAAACGCTTCGGTGGAGAGAGGATAGACTGCTCGATTTATCGCACACGTGAATAGAACTATCCAAGCTTTGCTTCCACTACGTAAGAAAAGCGGACCGGCCAGATCCGCTCCAGTAATTTGAAAGGCTGCAACTCGGTATATTCTGTTGGGAGGTAAAGGAGCTGGATCTAGATTAACTTTGCCAGCTGCTAGCCTTTGAAATTTTATACATTGTTGTAAAATTGCTCAAATAACTCTCCGACCCTAGGAAATCCAGAATTTTTCTCTTAACTGTGTTAAGATCGTTAATACCCCAGCATGCATTAAGGATCTATGAATATGCAAAACCCAGTCTTTCTAGAAGAGGATGGTCTGGTAGAACTGTAGGACGCGTAGAGTTCTCTGGATCTTGACTTAGTCTTGTTTGAACTTTCAGGATGCCATTTTCTACGAAAACTATATCATATCTTTATACTTCTCACGTACTTCAGACATTCTGACTGCATGATTTTTATTAGTCTCCTCTGCCTTTTCAGTCTCTTCATATGAAAGTAAATTAACTAGGAGAGTTTTTCTTAATATTGTTGTGGAATCGAAGAACATAAGCCGTCATTCGCAGAATTTTCGTATAGCTTGAAAAGTATAAGAATCTATCTCCAAATCTCTCTTTCTTTCCCCCTGTAACTAAATTTGTCCCAACTATCTTATGCCGCTCTAGAAATGCTTCATCTGGAATCTCCGATACCTCAGAACATGGCCAAGATTTTTCGTCTTTATACAGCCAACTTGGACCCTAGATGGTTTGCCAACAGACTTGTGTTTAGAGATGAAGCCACTGCCATAATTTATGATTTTGGGGCATGGGAAATCCACTGGAACATGAGCATGATCCCCCAACATGCTAAAAGGATGGTTGTTTCTTCAGCTGGAAGAAGCATTCCCGGCTTCATTCTGCAGCAAGACATGCTCCACCACATTGGCATAAAACGCACGCCATTATCTGAACAATAGTCGATCCCATGGCTGCACTGGCCGTGCTAGATCAAATGATTTGCCCTCGCTTTGTTGGCCACCGACATCCCTAGATCAACCTCTCCTTAATCTTTCCCATGGGGTTTTAAAGACAAAGAATGCATGCCTCCATTTCCACACGACTTACAGCAATTGAAGCAGTGGATAACTGAAGTGCTCGAATCATTAATAAAGGAGTGCTTAAATTTTATTAAAATCTCTTCATTTATTTTTTTTTTAGAAATTTGACGTAACGTGCTGAAAATTCTCTTAATTTTAATTTAAGTCGCACTTTCGAGACATGAAAAATGCAATAGGAATTTCGTGAATCGGCCCAGTAGAACGGGAGATTATCCTCACTCTTATTATCTATTTGCTTAGGAGAAATGCCTTCATGGAGAACTTTCTGAGGGAAACTGGCTCATCACGCTGCACATGGGAATTATGCCTAAATATTAAATTTTGAAAATTTGGTATGAAATTTATGGAGAAATTCAAAAATTTATCTTGCCGTATTTTTTTCAGTTTGCACCATGAATAATTCACTTAGTGAACTTAATTTATGGCAACCTATTTTCTTTTCCCTTTTTATATTGTGCATGAGCAGAAAAAGGCATATCGTTCCTACTCTCAAATAATTTTAACAAAGTGCCTAAACCAGATTTGATGTTGTTATCATTTTCAACAAATATGCCAAATTTCAAAATGCACCATTAGGCAAATTCAGGTTTATCTTAGAAAATTTTGAATATTCTAATTTGTGGCGGGTATGCCTAGAAATACAGCTACTTTAAGATGATGTTAAAAACTTTGTGGATTAGAATACAAAAATGTTTTTGAAAAATTTGTAAAAAATATTTAAATACAAATTTTAAAAGTAAAACATAAAAAATGTACAAATTATATTTGAATTCATCTTAAATTTCTAATTCTAGAAGAAGGAATCAAATAAGTTTAATAAAAAGATATTAATAAACAGACATCAAATTCAAATCACAGAGGGGCTTTGAGTTGTAGAATTGAAATATGGAAAAAAATTGGCATGTCATTTAAAAAAAAAGTCCGATTTTGTGTCAAAGTACCTATATTAGAACAGTGCTCTACATAAATCTAATATGTATCCTAAGTCACGCTTTCAAAACATGAAAAATGCAATTTGAATTTTGTCAATCGGTCAAGTAGAACCGGAGATATAGTTTTTTTTTTTTTTTTTTTTTCACAGTTTACATGTCATCATAGGTTATTTGAATTTGAACTGCGAGGTCTGCTTGCTTAGGGAAAATGCCTTCATGGAGAGCTTTCTGATGGAACCTGGCTCGTCATGTTACACATGGGAATTATGCCTAAATATTAAATTTTGAAAATTTGGTGCGAAATTTATGGAGAATTTCAAAAATTTATCTTGCCATATTTTTTTTCAGTTTGCATTATGAATAATTAATTCACTTGGCGAACTTCTTAATTTATGGCATCCTATTTCCCTTTTTACATTGTGCATGAGAGGGAAATAAGTCACATCGTTCCTACTTTCAAATAATTTTAGTAAACCACATTACATGTATGGCACATTTCAAAACATGCCAATATATAAATTCACGCATATCTTCGGAAATTTTGAATAAAAAGCTCCAATTTTTTGCAGGTATTCTTAGAAATACATCTATTTCTACTTTAAAATGATGGTACAAATTTATAAAAATTATTTTAAAATAAATCATAAAAAATGGGTTAATTTTATTTGGAATGAACCTAAGTTGTGCTTACGAGACATGAAAAATGCAATTTGAATTTTGTCAATTGGCCCAGTAAAACAGGAGATTTAGAATTGTTATTATATGGGTATTAACATTCCATGCATCTGCCTATTTGTAATATAAGAATTATCAATAAAATTTCATTATATATTATAAAGACAGTACAATCGAATTTTAGTTAATGAACATTCCAGAAGACAATTCCTGAATCCCCCAGGCTTTTCTAGGTAAAAGACCAAATCACTCTCATTCATATATTGTCAGATAAAATCTTAGTTCCATGTATCTGTTAACAGAAAGTTTAATTGCATATCATTATCAAACTGATGACCGTTTTGGACTTTGTGAAGCAGATTCTATCTCAATCTTTGCATACTCTTAATGTTTCTAAATCAAAAGTTATCAAAAAGTAGAAATCTATGCCCCTATATATAAACCAAAAAAAAAAAAAGTTTTGTGACAATAAAGCCATAAGTATCATATTTCTGCTGATGAAAATATATTAATTAAAAGCATGAAAATTTTATTGGCTCTTATTTTACATATTAGCACACAAATGTTCATTTACAAAGTAAGACTGCTCTTATATCGTTATAATTGTAAAAAATCTATGTTCTACTACATTACATGCTCATTAGGCACAGGTGTCAAAACAAGTGCATCTGAATGTATCAGCACTGTCCAAGCAACATGCAGATATAAGTGATGGGTTTATCATTTAAAAATCTACACAGAAAAAATGAATCATTTATGAAAGAACATATTTACAACAAAATGCTGCATTTTTAAAATACATAATGTGTGATTTTAAATGATATAAACCCAACACTCATTGGCTCTAACTGACCCACAGAAGATATCAATAATTACATCTTTTTGCTTTAAAATAAGGACATATAAAAGCTTGGTTATAAGCACCAACTATTTAAGGACACTTGATCTTACAATTAATCACTAATTGGTATTCCATTTTTTTATTACGAGATTTTTAAAGAATTATAATGGACAAATAAGAGCATAAACTTGTAAATAACAATAAAAAAGATGACAAAAGTTGTCACAATTACTCATGCAAGAAGTATAACATTTGAATTTTTTATCACAATTAAACACTGAATCATTTAAATTTTGTGCTTCCTTTCATAGGAAAAATAAATACAACCTAAGCATTTGAAATAACATTTTTCCCCAGAAATACACGCATATGTATAAAAAGAAAGACAATGGGGAAATGGCTGGAAATGTCAGATGCATATTTCTGAAGCTTAACATGCAAAAAATATAAGGGAGACTTAAAGCAAGGTTCCTATATAAATAGCAATAATAATTTGAAATAAAATAATAAACAAAATAAAACTGAATAAATGTAACATTATCTGTAGAGCGTATAATAAATATGAAATTTAGCTTGTTTTAAACATATTTATGTAGCAATACAATTTGAGTGGCAAATTATGATTAAATAATACTGAGAGATCTTTCTATAGATGATACTTCCAGAGTGTTTTTAGAAATTCATATTTTTATATGGGTTTTTAATCACCGAACAAATGGCCAAAGGAGCTTCTTAAAATGTACTTTTAAGACTCCTGATTATATACAGAAAAACATATAGTAAACTTTTCAAGGCTATGAAAATTAATTTAATGTTTCTAACAATAAATAACAAGAAAATGATCTGTTGATTCAGACAGACAGAATGCAAATGCCAAATTATACCCCTGTTCTTTAACTAACTGATTCATAACAGGAAAAAAATCTTTATTTTATCTAACAGAAAATGAAAAAGCATCCACATTTAGACCACTTATCATACAATTGAATTAAACCAATAAGACACTGTTAAATCTGCTACAAAATTCACCCCTCTCAAAAATAATTTAATTACATGGATAGGAACATATTTAACTGCTGTTAAAATACATGATAAATTTTATAAAAAATATTCAATTTAAAGTAAAAATAAATTGCATTCCAGCACATGATGTAGGTCTGCTTCATTTTTTACCATCATATATCACAACAAAAGCACTATTTCAAGCAAAACTAATTTTATGCGAATATTACGATATGCTTCTTGTTAGATGGGAAAATAGAGTAATAACAACAATAAAATTAACGGGCAGGATTACTATCTTTGTCTTTATCTTTTGAGGCTAATTTTTCTATTAATTCCTGCAGAGGTGCAAGCTCTCGTTTATCAATAAGACTGAATTCCTGGACGAAAAATATAAAATGTTTAAAACTTGTGTTTAGATGTGCTTCTTCTCCAAGTTGTACAATCTCTGAGAAGTGCTGGTGATAGATGTGGGCGTATACTCTAAATAATCGTTTCAAGATAGTCTTTGCAATGGATAGGAAATTCTTGGGAAAAGGTACACCTGAACCAAAAATAAAAGAAAATTGTTTAACAATAATCAAATATATATGCTCTATATACTATATAAAAACGTGGAAACATATATACCTAAATAAAATTTCAGATAATTTTATATAAGGATCTGCACTAATTTTCAGACTGAACTACACATAGCATTTAAAAGTGACAGAACTTCCTGAGCAACAGGTCACAGACATGTCAAGATATTAATCAAATGGTTCATTTTCAGATTGTGATAATTGTGGTCAAAAAACGAATTTTTATATAAATTAACAAAAAAAATCTGTGAATGAGAGAAATACAAACTAATAAGAAAAAAAAAAAAAAAAAAAAAAAAAAAAAAAAACCTGTGTCCTAGTTGGTCAAAAATAAAAATAATTATTTAATTTTATAATAAAACAAAATTTTCAGCTTTATAAAATTAATTATTAAAAACACTGTTATTGAACATTTTTTGTAGAAAATATATTACTATTGTTAAAAACACCTAATCCTTTTAAGTTTTCATATGAAAGTTTCTCTAAGGATCTTGAACTTCAGATTATCTGTGCTAATTATAACCGCATGGGTAATTATTCTTAACCTTGGAAGATTGTGATTATTGTAATGAACATTAATTAATGAGTTTTTCAGAGGTTTTAAATGAAAGACAAAAGCACACTGCTGGCCATTAAATTTGCAACACCATATGAAGGAAAGCAAATACAAGAAAGATATTTATCATACGTAAACAGTATGGCATGAAGACAAAATTATTAAATTTATAAGCAATTTGGAGGTTTACAGAGGTGAGAAGGGCTTGGATGACAGAAAAGGGCAACTCATTTCATGCTGTTTCTATTCTATGCCACACTTCATCAACCGTATTAGCTTTAGAGGGGTGGCAGGCGAGTCTCTCAGCAACCCATGACCAGATGTTTGCAATGGGTGACAAATCTAGAGATCCTGCAGGCCAGGAAAACAATTGAATACCCTGTGTATCAAGGAAGGTCAGAACACGATGTGCAACATGTGGTCTCGCATTATAGTGTTGGAAGATGGCAATTTGGCAGGCCTTGATGATAAGGCACAACCACTGGACGTAAGATGTCAGAAATGTACCGATCTGCATTCAAATTACCATCAGTCCAAACTAGATATTCATGTCCTGTATCCAGTGGCTGCCCAAACATTCATATCAGGTGCAGGGCCCCTTTGCCAATACTGAATACAAGCAGGCGATGTGCGGTTTGCTTGGTGCTCCAGACACGTATACGACCATCAGATTACTGCACACAGAACCGGGATTCAACAGAAAAGACGACGTTGTCCCACTCCCGCACACAGTTTTGCCATTCTGTGCACCAGAGTTGCCGTCTCTCTCAATGCTGCATTGTCAAAGGAAGCCAAAGTAATGGTCGGCATACTGATAGTCCACGCTGCTGCAAACCTCGATGTACCGTACAAGCCGGTACTAGGCGTGTTGCAAACATGCTCATTTCCTGACTAATGATCTGTCATGTGGTTGAATGGTTTTGCAAGTTTGACCTCACAATATGTCTGCCCTCTCGGGCGCATTAGTTGAGATCCTGCATGCCGTTCAGTATGACCCTCAACAACCCATTGTTTCCATATTCACATGAACATGACAGTGGTTGGATGTTGACCAGTGTGACGGATGATATCACGGAATGATAATCCACATTCTAGATAAGGAAAGATCCTGCTTCTATCGAATTCTGACATTTGCTGGTAAGCATTTCTTCTTCTTTTTTTTTTTCCGAGGCATAACAATAAATTCGGAGCAAACTCTGACCTTACAAAATGCTTTCATAAGAAATCCACTGTACAGCTTTTCTTTTATGCAGTGCTTTAGATGATGTTTCTCCTCCTGCATCATCTAAATATGATGAAATACTATAGTTCGACCATGCGTTTTGGCATTCGAGTCTATGTGTTTTGACAGAATGCCAACCAAGGTTAAGCTTGTGACGGTCGAACTATAATCATTCGCATATCACAACCTCTTCTTCCTTTTATGTGATTATGACATTCGTCAGATCATCCCTTCCTAGTGTTTTTCAATTTTAATATCCAGCAGTGTATAGTGTTTAAAATGGAGTTTCATTAAATTAATAGTCTTTCTTCTGGAAAATGACAGTGTTCTATAAATTTTGGACCCTTTTTTAAACTTCTGAAAGTCATGTTAACATTCTTACAGATAGATGTCAACATTGAAACTACTACATAAAATTATGATGCCAATAAATTCAAATTCTATTTAAGCCACCCACATAGTTTAATAATTTGTTTACAAACATCACGCTCCAGCTCCACTATGGCCATTTTACTCACTATTTTTTTTTATTCTTCTACCAGCTCCTCTTAAGATACTTCAAGAATATCTTTGATAAATACTGACTGTCCATCATTCTTACAAAAAGTCTTCCACCAACACTTCAAAGTTTCTCTTCTTATATTTTTTAAAACTTCGAACACCACAAATACTTTCAATGAGGCTTGATGCTGCTATCTTACTACCGAGAAAACTTCCCTACTTTATGTTTTAGTTAGGTAACTATAATTTTTTTTTTTTTTTTTTTTTTTCAGTTATGCATTAGCTTCTGACTTCCAAGTGTCAGCATTGAGATTTGTGAAAAACTTCTAATCAAATATAGGCTCAGACCTCTTTTGGAGCATGCACTCACTTAGTGTAATTATTAGGAATTCAATATAGCTTTCATGTTGGAGAAATAACAAAATGGAAGCATAATTTTCTACTTCCAATTCATAAAAATGCTAACTAAAATAAAACATTTTGTATCTTAACAGCTAACAACTCCTAAAGTTAGTATTTTTATCATTCTTTTCTTCCGGTGAAAATGGTTCAAGTTCATGCAATTCTAACAATTTTCTCCCTGGGCAAATTTGCATTTTGCAAAATAATTTAATGTCTTTACATAAGGTATGTATAAAAATTTACATTTCATGTAATTAATGAATAATGCCATGGAATAAAAACTGCTATATCTGAAAGCTTAATCTATTTCATTATTTTTTAATGCCCAATTGAGTTATTTAGCCATGCAGTCTTTTTTTTTTTTAATCCTGCAAAATGCTGAGATGCAAATATTAATTGTTTGAAACGCATCCCATGGCTTATTTTTAGCATAAACATATGTGTATAGAAAAACACAGAACACAAATTACAAAAAATGACCGACTTTTAAATATGCAAAAAGCTGTAGTAACAAAGTTGTTAATATACTGGGTAATATAAAATGAATGCCTCATCAGACGGCAGTATATGTACAATAAAATTGATGGAATTGTGAAGACATTCACAACTTTCATTTCAGATACTACCCAAGATACTTTTCAAAACTTATGGCAATTTTATTTCAGCTACCCAATACATACATTCTTTCTTATATCACTGCCATATCTGAGTTTAGCTGAGTGCTACTACTATCTATTTAGTGCCATTATAAACAACTGCACTAAAAATGTACATACATTTATTTAAATTTAGTTTATATTTTAATGAATCCTTCAAATTAAACAAGAAAATGTACAGAAAATGTTGATAAATACCAAAACTTAAACTAGTTGTTTTTTCTGCTCATAAAATGAAAGGCTGGCTTCATTCTCCCCCCCCCTAAAACTATGACATTTATCCCTGGTTAAGAACCCCTGGTCTACACCAATATGGGATTCCCCTCCTGTAACATTTGCACCCAATAAAAGCAATACAGAAATAGTCACTGCTGATAGAACTTCCACCAGGGTGGTTTAGGAAAATCATGGCAGGTGCTTAATAAAGTGTGATGAACACAGACCCTTCGGCACATTTATAATTCTAAAGTTTATGAAAATTTTTTTTTATATGAAATGAGTTATTTGTTTTATGGAAATGAGTTGTTTTATTTTTGAAATTGTTTATATTACTGGTTTGTTGTATCATGGCCAATACAAAAAATCTGATGTTAGTGAAATTTGAGTCTGGCTTACAGAAAAGTATAAACATATACCCTAGAAATAATAATACACTAGTTATCATTAATCAAGGAAAAATCACAAAAATGATGAATACTCAAAAAGTTACAGATATAATTTAATGAAATTGAGCCACAGTATATATCACATTGTCAGGTATTAAAAAAAGCATGAAAAGAAATTACCAGACAATTATTGAGTTATAGAAATTAGCATATGTACAAAATGAATAAAAAGAGATGTGTCAGTTTGGTACAGAAAAATTACCTTCATTATGGTACACACATATCGTGATGCTGTCAATACAACACATACCGTCATGCTGTCAATTATGCAGTTTATCAGTTCCATAAGAAGTAAGAACCATAGCTTTTGCAAAGTAGTTGCAATTGCAGCAAGGGTATGAAGACGAGGATTGCGAGCAGCTTAGATGTCTTCTTAAAGCGTCCCAAACATGTTCAATAGGATTCAAGTCCAGTGAGTAAGCTGGCCACTCTATGCGCTTAATTGCTTGCTGCTAAAGATAATCCCCCACGATGCGAACCCTGTGTGCCTAGCATTGTCGACTTGTAACAGGAAATTAGCACCTATTGTCCTGACAAAAAGGAGCACATAAGCATCAAGAATGTCATTTCTGTATGCCTGAGCATTAATGGTTCCATGTGGAAAGACATGGACGACTGTGGATCCACCCAAAGAAATACCACTCCAAACACAAAAACTAGCGCCACTAATTTGCATACTGCAGTTTTATTCAGCAATTCTTATTTAACAACATATTCAAATTTTATATGGACTGGCTTATTTTTGAACGAGTTGTTGTTTTCCATTATACAGAATTTTTTCGCCATCATGAAATCTCAGAGTTTCTACAGATTTTTGCAATATGGTATATTAACCATAGCTGTGATGCATGTTTTATGTATTTCTGTGTACCATGAGCACATGCCACCCAGTACCATTCTGTAAAAAATATATCAGATTGCTTGATTTCCACATTCTCAAGATGACCTAGTCAGGCAAGTT